TGTTTATGGTTTCAAATTATTTCACTTCCATAAACTTAGTTGAATAAGAAGTTGATATTAAATAATCACTATGTTTAAAACAATGTTGTGATGATGCTTTTCCACTCACTGTCTAATAGTAGAAACATTATATGATTTTGAACACTATTGCATGACTGGATAGTGAAAAATAGATTAACCACAAGGTGGTCTACTAAATCAAGTACAAGTGTGTTTCAAAAAGAATAATTTTTCTCTTCATATGAAATATCTACTTTCTTGTGCCATAGCATATATCAAATATCTTATTTAATTCTACATGTTCTTAGTAATGATCAATAAATTATATTAATGAATGGTTTTGACTGAACTCACATAAATTTTGCACATAGTATATTTTTCTTAAAGACTTGTTACTCTCCTACCAAATTTGCATCTCTAATATCCAAATTTTGCATCTATAATATTATAATTAAGGATGAAAATGATTGCACTGAGATTAAACACAAAAATTCGATGCGATGGACCAAAGAATTCCAAACCTGCAAACTTGCCGAAAGAAAAATAAGAACAACTTTTGATAGTAAAATAGATAATTGTATACACTAAGATTGAATATTTAGCTTCTTAATAGATTATTGATAAATTAATTATCATTTGATTTGAGAAATATTACTCAAACATCAATCGGATAGATAAAGACCTGAGCAGTGAAAGTCAAATTTTGAAGGATATTAAATCTCTTAATCAATCTTTAACCTTGTCAATTGCATCCAACTAATAATGAACATTTCTCCATATATAAAATGACTGTAATGATTTTAGTGAATATACACCCAACACACACCCACTCCGTGGTATTAGTGATATACACCCGAGAAATACCACGGAGTGGGTGTGTGTTGGGTGTATATACACTAAAATCAATATCACCATATAAAAAATAGAATAGAAAATAAATATGCGAATAACATTCAAGTAACTGTAACATTCTTGGATCAACACAAAGTAAATTGTTTTAAATATCTCCAACAAAGATGTATATCACATATAAATCTCAGGATATCATCAAAGATACAATTATATTTCTATAAAGTAGTGTATAATGTTTGACATGAAATGAAACATAAACATGAATTGTCAAGAAGTATTAAAATATATTATAATAATCAAATCCGAATTTTGAAGTCCAGTCATATTCTTGAAAGTGTATTATTTATTCATTTATATTTATATTGGATCATATTTGACACACTCCTTGAATTTTCTCAAGAGTTATAAAATTATGCTTGAAAAAAATGTAGTGCATTTCACAATTTAGATTTTCAGCATACAAGATGAAGTTCTGCAGTGAAATAATCAAAAGATTGGAGATTAAAATATATTAAATTTTTAAAAATCTATACTGAATTACTAATATGTACGTTTTTATGTATATATGATCAGATCTACATGCAAGAGAATGCTACTTTGATATGCATATATTTATAAAATTATCTAGAAAAAAACTAAGAAATTAATGATACATAGCGTCTATAATTTAGTAATATCATATTTTTTAAATTTCATAAAAATTTAGAAATATATCACATAATAGTGGATTTTTTGAAAATATGATAATCTTCTTAATGAAAATTATCATTAGAAAATTATTATTGTGAATCTAAAATGAAATGAAATTACTAAAATAACCAAATGGTATATCCAACTTGATCAAAGAAGGAATCAAGATGATCTGCATGATGCAAAAGTGAGAATGATTGATGTTTTTGGAGGGGACTTCATGCACATCTTAGTGGTCTTATCATAATATTGTGCATCTTTAAAAAATGATTGCTTATTCTTACTAAGGAAAAAACGCGATGATACATCAGACCTGGTGTATATTACCCCGTAAAGAGAAGACTGAAGCGAGAACTATCAAAGTATACATCAATTTTACCATAAATCTATTTTTACATGCATCCCAAGTGTTAGATATCAAAACCCTACAATCACTCATAATTTTGTAAATCAATTTCCAGAATCTCCACTATATTTCCATTAAAACGAAGTGAATATATTAAATGAACAAGACACATATTTCTAAATAGAATTTCCATGTCAACCCCCAACAATAGAACAAGGCCACTGAGATGTCTAAGATACAATACCTTTTTCTAATGATAAAATGAATGAAGAATGACGAAGACCATTGCATGGTCACTACCTTTAGAGGCCAGTGGCCTACTGTTGGAAATACAGTTCTTAACTTGCTGTTTCTTTGCAGTATAACCCATATACAAAGCGCACTAAAAATATTACACTGAAGGTTATGATCCCATGAAATCCACCAGTTTCCATGTCTTTGAATAAACCCAGAGACTGCAGCGAATTACAATATACATTATTCCGCGGATGATGACCAGAGGACCCATCAGGCCACCCACATGCCTGATGACAAACCCAACAGTCTGACGCGGGTCAAATAACGTTGACTGCTGGCAGTTCTAATCCACATCTCCAGACAACCATCAATCGAAAGCATTCGTAAGTCAATTGACAATGAAATTTCCTGTCAACTGTCATCAGGCCCTAAAGTATAACCCCATGCTGCGCGAAAACCTAATCCTAGCCTGCCAACCTGCTCTCGTGTCCCCGTCAATCCTGCGACCCCCAACATATCTCGCATCACATCCACCCGAGAATTCTAAACCTTTTTAAACTACTCCTCGAAGTCTATCTGAAAGCATCTCATCTCTGCCATTTACTTGTAAACAAGCACTGCACCTATTGCACAAATTGCTCTCGTGGGCATCTGTAAGAAATGCATGGATCATGATACCTTCGTGACTTTGATGAATTCAACATGCATCCCAGCCCATATAGGAGAATAATTGCCCCTGCAGAGACCTCTGTAAATTATGCGTTGCTCATGCACCATATATGCTTCCAAAACAAAATTAAAAATTTACATCCTCACTGCATCACTGAATATCCAGTTCCACTATTCAGCAGAAATACGGTGTGGGAGACGACACTAATGCTTAAGGAAAATCGATGAAGTGGGACACCATATATGCTTCCACAACAAAATTAAAATTTTACATCCTCACTGCATCACTGAATATCCAGTCCCGCTATTCAGCAGAAATACGGTGTGGGAGACGACAATGATGCTTAAGGAAAATCGATGAAGTGGGACACGACACACTTCATCGATTTTCCTTAAGCATAAGGATTAGGCAAGTACGCACAACTTCCATTCAAGCGTGAGATCTAAATTCATAATATTCATGGATTGGCTCGAAGAAACTTGCACAGTGAAAGATTGTACATCTGAATGAAAAAATTATATCTACTTGACACGTAAGCATATTTATGACCGTATTTCATTATGTCAATACAAAAGATTGGAATCAAAATAGTGCGCTAAGAATGAGGAATTTAATGAATGGTTTGTACTATACAGTACCACTGTGCGATATGTACGTTGGGAAGTGCTTCCATACCTTGCTCAGTTGGACTTGCTACGATGAAAACTACCTCGTTGGAATCTAACACTTGTATCGACTTAATCAAGTTCTCTCACCCCTAATGTGTTATCATTCTGATGCTAATCTGGAATGGAATCTTTGGGTCGACGTCATTGAATGATCCAGTTGTCGTTCTACAACACATATGTTCCAAAGAAAACGTAAGTTATCTTACAAAGTTCGGACCGGATAAATATCTTGTACCCAATTAAGGTAGACACACCTGCTCTCATGGACGGACAAGCCTTCGTGCAAATGAAATGACATGGGGTGAACCTAATTCCAACTTCCACATGGGATAGACGAGAACCTCGTTCATACCTTGGACCGAGAACTCCACTGGCAACTTACATTGGAAATATCGGGAACGGGGACGTTGGACGACCAATCTAGAATTGCCGTATTGCACCGATTATTTCATTAAGACAAGCTTTTTGTCAGCAAGTAGAAAGCAATTCTTGTGCAGAAAATCAACGTAGATCTTTTTTTCTATATCTGTGTCGAAGTCATGAATATCAGTCAAGAATACAGTATTAAAAGCGTATTAGTTAACGACTCCCTTACTTCAGACACATAACACTGGGTTACCCCTCACACTAGAACACAAAATGTATAAGATACATGCCTAAAGATAACAAGATAAGAGAGTAACTGGAACGAACAGGAAAGTGAGAGTTTGTCTCACGTGAAGCAGGATCTTATCACAAAGTTACAAAATTTCATCCTTCCCATTTTAGCTATCATCTCTATCATGAACTCCAGCAGAAGTGCGTTAAAAGTCCCCAACTTTAAGCTTCATAGCTACTCTCATAGTGCATGATGGTGTGACAAAAACAAACCGTGACGGATAGATAAAAAAGGACTGGACGTGTTTGAATAGCAAATTTGGAAGTTCCTGATCTGGCTGATTTAATTCGGAATCAGTTTTCTCTGAACCAACCTGGTCTATTTTAATAGACGAGTACAATGTCTATAGCATCGAATCATATGTAAAGATAATTAGATGCTATAGACATTGCTCTTGTGTTCTAAAACTCCGTCCCATCATCACCTGCAATTGTCTCATACCATCTACTGAATCCTGGTTCCTGATTGTACACGAAAAAAAGGAAAATGAATACAGAAAAGGAAAGAAGAAAAGACAAGAATTGCGTTTATGGGACTAACGGTGGATGTAAGATCTACTGTGCTGTGGGATAAACATGGAATTAAGGTCAGACCTGGGGAACTGGGACGACCGCATTCATTGATGTACAGTGAGTGCATTGGACTCATCATTACATGAGACCCATGGCATCTTCCAATCACCTTCGATTTCAGAAACTCGTACTTGTCATAATGCTCGAGATTATCTACTGATAGTAGGAAGAACCTTCAATGTGAAACGACCGTTATTAATGTCCAGCAACTCTGAGCCAGAGTCGGTCGTCCGTTGGATGCAATCTTGGGACTAAACTAGGATCGCGGTCGACCCCATCTTACCTTTCCTCAGAAATCAGAAAGCCTCGTCGAAAGCCTCGTCGATGATGGATTCGATGCAACGACCAGTCTCCATGACCAGTGCTCCTCCTACCAGTCGAACGGACGTGAAATAGCTTCTTCTACCGAGCCAGATTGTTGGTACAACAAGTTGGAAACTGTAAAGACAATTTTGCACTCTGAACTGGTCCCATAACGAGAACTCTAATTTCGTTGATGAAACTTGTGTACAACGTGATGCAATGCGCATCTTCAGTGATGACCTGGTGATGACCATCTGAGGTGGTCGACTTCACAATAATTACAGTACTAAATGGACTCTCCTTGGAGGAAGCTCGAGCAAAGTTGCTGCGGAACTCTTCACAATTATCTGCACTTCGCGCAAACTATAATATCGATCAACAATAGATTCTAAGGATCAGTTATTGTAATCACGTCTAATTCCTCTCCCGCATACAGTCTATAGCAGAATCGGGCTGCCATTGTTGCGTCTGATACATATGCACACGAGACAGTTAGGGCTCATATAAACAGTTGATGATATCTGTCGAGCGCAAATTCCAGCCTAAGGTATGACATATGAGTAGTCCGATCCCGATTCATCCGCACACGACTGATTCTGTTTTTAAGACCTCGCTATCTATGGAGCAAAAAAATGCAATAAATTCTTGCTAGAATGTCGATGAAGTTTCCAGTCGGTAAGATGCAAGTTCCCAATTCAGCTTTGAAGAAGCGACAGCGCGAATCGAATAGAGGGGAATCTGACACCATCATTGGAAGGATGTGAAAGTCTCTGGGCCTCGTGCAGAGTGCCAAAGGGAGGGTAGTGGTCTACGATTGCATTCAAAGTAAGAGTTAGAGGTTTCGTTTGTAGAGATTGGAGAAGAGTGGTTACTTACAGTCCGAGGCCATGAAGAATGTTGCACAAATGGCTACGATTGTTATCACCGCTCTAGCGATTTCAATCGGGGCCCTGTCGTTGCCCATGTCCAAAACGACGTCCATTAAATCAAACTTGTCTGTCTTCTCGACACGAAATTTTGATGAGATCACGGAAGCTGCGTCTGTTGAGATTCCCTGTACGAAGCGTTTACAAGTCAATGCTCGAAGTCCGTGAGGAGATGAATTGACTCCAGACAAGGCAGAGTGCTCAACGTTCTCAGTCGGAAACAGAGATTGCGCTCTACAAATTACATATTTTCAGAGAGGAAGCAGCCTGCAAGCTGCTGAGAAGCAAATTGTATTGAGAGTTTTGTATCCTTCGCAGCTTCACTGAACAGGGCATTCTGGGGGCTTTTGCAATGCACATGTATCGACAACTGTTTCGCCGAAATTAATGGTCATGTGGACTGTGCAGACAATTCTTAAGCCCACAGGTATGTGCGTCTACTTTGAATTTGCAGATGTAAAACACCCAGCTGCGCTACTTGCTCTGTAAGTGTCTCACTTTGTAGACTGAATGAACACTCGCCATCTTGTGAGTGAACATCAGGAACACGGAGAGAGCTTGGAATCAACTACATGACAATGTGTGTATCCCAGACAGACACTTGTGTCTGGGAAACATTTGATGTATACGTAGAAGGGGGTTTCAACACACCCATGTACGATGTCGCGTCAGTTTCTTGAAATTTTCAAGGAGATGAGAGATTCTGAGGTTTATTCTCAATGTTTCACACTGGGCTTCAAACAGCAAGTGAACGCAAGTGATTAATTTTTTTACCAATTAGTTTATTCAGATTCTATGAACGGAGTATCTTGGCCGTTTTTTCTCAGAGTATTTATGCTTGAAAAATGCGACATTCCAATCACAATTTCTGATGGATTTTTTCACCACCTTTATGATAAGTGTCGAGTCGTTATTTAACAATTTATAACGCACGACATGGAATGGATAACGATAGTGATTACATATCCCGTGACCCATTACCCTGAAGCTCCTGTGTTTCTCCAGCAAGCATAAGATGACTCCACTGTCAGCAACCCAGTGCAGTGCTTGGGTCATGAGTTGGAACTTAGCAAGCAGAAGATGAGCTGGTGCTTTGCCAGCCAGTAGCTGAACCATTTGTGCCTCCGAAACAGTTCTGGCATTCGAACACCATCAAACGCCTGTGAAGCTAAGCGAGAGTTCTAGTGGAGATTGTGCCACCGGATCGAAAGTTCTGAACAGAAGAAAGAACAAATGGTGGACAAAACGACAATTATACCACAGTCCAACAAATCAAGGCACAGTGCAAAGTATCAACAGCAGTTTACCACCTTCAGGTACTAAATCCAACCCATGCAAGCTTCCCTGGTCTCCACAGCCCATAGTCATGCGACTGAACCTGCCAGGACCATGCCCAGGAAGGAGCCTTTTCAGTGCTGAGATGAGCCAGTAAGAGCACTCAGATACGGATCAACCATGAAGCTTGCTTGGAAGACCCTGATCTATGGAGTCTCTATAGTTACAGTGGCCAATAGCACCACCAAGAACTGTGGCCGGGGAGCAGTCTAAAATCAGCCCACATCTGCGCATTACCAACCACTCGCATTGCGCCGACATAGACGGTCAGTGAACAAAATCTGCACTGCACAGAAGCACGCCAGGACAGCGATGGAAATTGTCACGTCCAGTCTTAGGGCCTTCTGAGCATGGAGTCCTTTCTTCTCGGTAAGGACATCCAATCTTGCCATGCTTCCCTGCATTAGGTAAGAGGAATGCCGCCTCGGGAGGTTAGGTTGATGTGGGGCATCTTTCCGAGTTAATCATTACCTGCAACAACATGGCTTTTACGAAACAAGTTGCACACTCGATTGAAGTTGAAACTTTGTGCCTTTCCTTGACACTGTGTTCTAACATCCGATGGTTGATGCTCTTTCGTCTCTGCCCCTTCCCAGAGTATTGACGGATCACTGACAGTAATACCTCGAGAGAGGATGGGAAAAGCGCCTGTCGTAGAAACGTAAGATTCTGATTGAATTAAATGTTCCTATCATGGAGCACTGTGTCCGCGACGTCAGGTGACGTGTGAGATCGACTGGACAACTTTCTGCAGGAGCCTGCTGGTACAGGTAATGTGCGAGCTCGACGATTATAAGCAAGCAAGGAATCTTACTTGGCAGGCACATCTCGCGAGGCCCCGAACATTTTGTACACTAGAATGTTCTCTTCTTCAGGCATATGTGGTCTCGAGGATTCTGAATAAGGGTTGTGCAAAGCTTGTATCCTTTATAAGCCGGTGGATGCGGTGGAGTGGCTCATTGTCTGAAGCGTGAACAACTTATGTGTCTTACCTCAAAAGAACGAGGCTACGAATCTGTGTGTCGATGCTAGGTCCTTGTTCTCTTAAGATAATATATTATTGCGACCTGATCCTCGGGATAAAGTATTTAGATGGGCTCCATAGATGTGCATTAGCTTGTGAACATTTGTAAGGATAACACGTACGCGCGCTGTTGAACTTGAGAAGTACGGATTTCTATTAAAAAACATTGGGTGGTTGTAGTTCACAGAACGATGTCCTCGAAAAATCCTCGCTATATGTAGATGACAAGCCCTGCTCGGGAATATTTCTGGAGCACCATCCGACTTTTGAAAATGGATGCCCTGCATTGGGAAGAAATTCCGTGCGAAAACACCTCAAGCTTGAGCATTATCGAGTGTGCTCCATGTACATTCGAGATAAACTTGCAGGGCCGAGATAATGGTCTTGGTACGATTGAGTCTCAAACGGTATGATCTGAAGCACCATAGGCTTACACTAGACCGTTGCTGAGGGTACGTCTTCGTCTTTGAGAATTGCATTTACTTTCATCTACTTTATGTGCGAGAATATGCACATCAGCCGTAAGTCAAACGAGCTTCGGCCCAGAGAACTATTCCGATAAAAAGACGAAAAGTGACAGAAAAACTTTGAAAGTATTGGTAAGCGTTTTCCATTTGATTAGAAAATCATAAGAATCTGTACACACGCGACGCAATGCGCAGCTTTTGCTACAACCTTTGGAAAGATATAAAAATTAAGATCGCTACTTTTTCACGATCGTGAAAAAGTCCAAAAAGCGTTGCCGGAGAAATTGCTACGAAATCAACCGAGGGTGATCGCTGGAACACCAAGAACGGGTCATCTGACTCTCATTTTTTTCCTTTTTTGTGAGAGCGTTGAATCAAAGCCCATAGATTCATTCAAAACCTGAGTAGATTTTATAGCAGAATCTGGCGGCCATAGTAGCATCTGATACACAGGGGAGTACGGACTATTAGCTCTAGAACGTGAGCATCTTAACTGCAAGATAAGTTTATGACAGAGGAGTTAAGGAACCAGCATATGAGAAGTGTTCTAGACAAGTGAACCAAGTGGGAGGGGGTCCAGCACAAGGGTACATTGGTGCAAGCAAAATTTCTGAATAAAAGTCCTCACCCTCACGCTCATGATTAATTGCGTTAACTCTAATATTTGTTCTGAGAGGCAACGACATAGAATTTATCTAGCACATCCAATTCAGATATGGTTTGTGGGCTACGTACTCATAACACAACAAGGAAACTGCGGGCACATAGATTTTCACACTTGTTATTCAAGGCTGATTCTTTTGTTCTGAAGCCTAAGGGATCAAGCTTTCAATCAGCCGAAACCTGCTGAAGAATCACGAGGAGGAATGTGCAGAAAGCTTCGAGCTTGAGAACTTACAGTCTGTGACCATGAAGAGAGTCGCGCAAACAGCTATGACCGTGATTACAGTCCTGGCAACTTCAATGGGGACTCTGCTGTCGTGGGTTAGCTCCATCTTCCCCGTCCTTCAATCGAGAGTTTTGTGCCTTACACGCGTCGATGTATTGCGGGTCGTCCACTCCTTCTGATTGCCTTACGGATCAAATTGACAGTACTCTCCTTGAGCTCGAGTATGCAAGTGTCAAACACACTGCAGACACAACTGAGTCCTTGATGGTTCCGTATGTGCGCCCTACAAGCTTCCTGCCCAAGGAATCGGAGTGGGCAATCTCCAATTCGAAGAGAAGGCTGGCTGTTGCAGAGCGCTCTAGGAAATTGTCTTCGATACCCAAAGCGCCTGACCTTGCCAGGCTTTATACAACCTCTTCATACTCCGTGTTATGCACATGGGATCTGTACACGGAACGCCGTATCACAATGTTCGATGATTGTTGACTGTGCTACCGTTTCTCGTGACAGAATTTGCCGTTGACCCGTAGTGGTGACGTTGGTCTGATCATCACGATTGGCATTTCATGGTAGGGTCACCTTCACCGCCGGACTTCTGATCTTTTGTGAGCTGGATCTTGCATGACAGGAGAGAAAAAGGCGAGAACATAGTGTACGCCGTTCAGTGAGGTTCGGAGCCACTTCAGCAGCAGCGCATGGGTCTTTTCGATGGAAGGACTGACTCGTTGTGCAAGATGCGCTTTCGTTTCAGCAGCAGAAGCGATCTGAGCTTCTTTTGCAAGGCTCAGAATTAGAAAAGGTAGTGGAAAGTTCCTCTTCTATTGACAGGAGGGGATTAGGACTCGGGAAAGATGTTTAAAGGTAAAATCGGTCTCACTTTCCTATTCAGTGACTGTAGAGAAAATCATGTTAGAGGGCCTTTCCCTGTTCTCAGTGATTGATGCTCCTGACATGAATGCAAGGTTCTAGACACTGATTGTAAAGCCTCGAGGACTTAGTCTGATCTTAGGAGAGAGAGAGAGAGAGAGAGAGAGAGAGAGAGAGCTGTAGACATGTCCTTAGGAATGAAGACAAGCCAGTTCTGGTTGTGCATGCGTAAGACGAGCCTGGAAGAAACAAAAAGAGCTCTGGCAGGATACGAATCCCCAACATGAACTCCTGTGGCTATAGATTGGACATTGAGGTTCTAGCTCGTACTCGAGGGAAGATCCAGGCAGTATTCAACGATCGCTTTCAATGATAGCTAGAAGCGATATATTAATGGCCTTGCCTGTTAAAAATAATTTACAGTCCACATTTACAAACGAACAGAAGATGTTAGAACCAACTCGGTGCCATTCAATATTCTGCTTTCGAGATATATGTTTGGATCCTATTTGGGTTGCAGTTGTCAAGTGAGGTTGAGAGATAAACTAGGGTCACAACTGCAGACTGAGTTGCTCCTCGTAGTTAGTACTCAGGTGAGCAAGCATCTATCTATATAACGATAAGACGCAACCGTCCTAGCGTTCGGTGAATACGTTACTATTGTCGACTTATATTCCGTAGAGGCCCATGTAGAGGCCCACCAGATTCCTCCGTATTATAAATTATTACTAATCTATGTATCTATCGATCTTCAAGTCGAATGTTGTAAGCCTTGGTCCTGTGTCTGCACACATTACCATGCTAGATCCTGCACGGCGATTCGCCTACGAAGCAAGTGTGGCAATACTGCCGAATAACCAAACGGCACTGGCACCAAAGTTAGCGACGGGGAAGTAACCGGTGTAAGTTCTTCTGACGGGATCAGCTGGTCACAATTTATGGATACTGCAGCCAAAAAACGAGAATTGCTGTGCACTCATTTTTTTGCACAAGTTAGAAGTAATTCATGAGGTATATCATAACCTTGCGCAACAGGTTTGTGACACGATTGTTAATGAATTTGGAGGTTGGGCATGGAGGTCTAAGAGATATGTGTATGGTTCACAATAACTGAGGATTAAAAAAAGAAGGTATGTTTATTATACAAAAAGGTCCGATCTGTTTATTATACAGCTGTTCGAATAAATCCGAGTTTCCTGCATTGACGAAAGCTGGGAGCAGCGCAGGCTCGATTCAGAATGTTGGACGGGGAAAGAATATCAATGATGATATTCCATCATTGGCTTTCCACCCCACGCCCTTGATCGAGATCCCGCCTCTGTGGGGACGGAGAGTGAGCTGGAACACAGCACGTGAAAGAAGGTCACCAAATCGCCTTTCTGGCACACTGCAGTCCCGATCGTGCAGGTCTATGAAGTCACTGGTGCACAGGACACTGTTGCAGTTCTAAGGTTGATAGATCGAGCAATCGAGCCAGCGTTTGCCAAAAGACCGTAACATTATGTTCTGGCATTCTGACATTTCGCGTTTCAGGTACAGCCCAGCTCCCGAACTTCTCGTTAACTTCCTGATCAGCTCCAGTGATGTAGATGTCACCTCTAATACTGTACTTTTGCTAGAATGCTTCCCGTCACAGAACATTCTCCGGTGCTCCACAATTCACATAAAAGGTGGTCGCACCGCCATGACCTAACTGCATGCAATGATTAGAAGAAGGCAGAACTTGTGCATTATCGTTGTGCATCACTTGTATCGTGGATTCTTCGTAAGTGATCGTACTTATGAATGGACATAAGTCGAGGCTTATGCTTATGCTTATGAGGCTTATCTGGCAGCATGCACTTTGAGGAGACGTACATGGTGTGCTGAATACCTAATTACTGCAACTTGTCCTTCTCTTGATGAAGCTCATTTAAGGTACGGTGACGCATGATTGATTGACATATATTGTTTTGAGGCGATTGAATCACAATTATTATTGTGTACTGTGGCTCCAACTGATTTCTGACTCATCAGAATGACAGTACACTTGAGATCGACATTTCTGACCATACATTGCCGAAGCATCCGATGGTATTGCGAAACGAGTGACCATGCGAATATCGCATCGGAATCGTCAACATGCTCGATCAAATGAGCAAGCTTCAATCGAGGAGGAATCCTAATAATGTATAGAATTATATCCATGGTCAAGCAAGAACCATCACGCGGAAGCTGGATACAACCTTTTAGAAAGGTTTCACTTTCGCCTAATTACGAAATACGGGCTTTCTGTATAGAAATTCAGGACGAAAGCAAAACAGAACATGGATGCATGCTTTGAATGATCATTTGATAGCTTCAGTGGAAATTGGAGACTGCCGTTAACTTGCACAGAGATTGAGGACTCGAATTTCTGAAGCAGCTTCTGCTTGACCAAGGTGAATAAATCCTGCAGCGATTTTATCAATTCCTTCAGATTCCGGATCATTTCAGCATTATGCACCATAAGCACTTGTGTCCATAGTATCTTCAACTTTTCTGGTTGTTGTATGTCTCGCCATCTGTCACCGTCAAATACGATTTCGCAATCGATAACCGGCTAGCGAGGAGATAGAGCAGTGTCCACGAGCATATTGTGGCCACCGAGTAGCAGATCACCTCACACTTGATGGGTTGTAGAACTTAGGAGATTCCAGATCTGCCATTTCCAAAAAAATGTGAAGTTCTGCTAACAAAATGATATCGGGGACTAACAAAATATGAACATTCAGACAAAGTTGAGTGCTGTATCTTCTCAGTACTGTGCGTGGTCACCAAATCGACCGGAACAGGCTCATTAAATGATGAGACACCTCTATGTATCTCAACTGTATTACCAACCTTCTTCGTAGACCATGTGCGCAATACAGATGAGTGAGAGAGTAGACCATGTGCGCAATACAGATGAGTGAGAGAGCAGAGGCGATGATCTAACAGGAAATCCAACGTAAATGTAGTTGATTTTAGTTGCCATGTTACATGTCAACTAAAATCAACGACATTTACGTTGAGTTACCTCTTAGAATTCTGGATATCAAGAGACAAGGCGACAGAGTTATGAGTATAAGAGAGTACAAGATAAATCTAGGATGATGACAGTAATTAGAGGTAGTTGTTCTTTGTTCCAATTGATTTTCAGGTTGTCCTCGTTGAACCATGAGTGAAAAAATTGAAAGTCTGCGGGGGACCGCCCAGTGAGCAACGAAAAGAGAGCGCGTAAACAGGATGTGCCGAATATTTTCGTATGGAGCTGATGGACGCAGGCTTGTCATTCCTTATCTTCATATACTGAAAGGAAGGATTTTACACTTGTTCGTTCATCTGTGTCTCCCACGACTTGTGAAATGTGTTCTGATTCAAAGCCGCCATACTTTGTGTTGGCTAAGAAATCAAACCTCCAAGCCTTCATCAGTTCAAATGTCTGAAGATAAGTTTCTCTCTTAGTCGGGCCCCTCTTTCTTATTTCGAAGTTTGAGACATGGATGAACGCAGTATCTACCCAGTAATCTTCAGACACCAATATAGATCGAGTGAACCATCTTGGACTAAGTACATGGTCGAACTTTGACGTGATGAACATTTCTGCGAGCATTTGTTCTCGACTGTTTAGATTCTAGAAGACGAGCTGGATTTCGTGGTCCAAGTTGGAGTAGTTGTTGATAGTCATTAAAGTTTCTGATCAACATTGTCCATCGCAGGTAATAAACAAAATGGAGGGATTGATCAGAAGACCTATAGTGGGGCTTAATGTCAAAATCCCAAACAACATCGCAGTTCAACAAGAATTTCGGAAAAACGACAATATGGCAAATATCGGAACTTCATTGTCCAACTAAACGATGGAAGCTCGCAGAGATGGTTCAAACGAGGTTGGTATATTTGCAAAGTAAGCTTTTATTGCGTTCTTGACATCTTTACATGATCGCCAAGATGTCTACTCTAGAAAAATGAATAAATCTTGAAGAATTTGTACATTTGAGATGCAATGTGCATCCTTTATACCGACCGGGGGCCTTTCTGCTTCTAATGAGCTTGAAACATTGTGAACCCTTCAATAAGTTGAACCTTGGGATATTGTCTCTCATGGTGCTTGGTATCGGCAAATGTACTCAACTGGTGAAGCCAACCTAAATGTCGTCTGATTCTAGAATTCACCACCTGAATACACTCTGTAACAAAATCTGGCTGCCATCGTGGCATCTGACACAGACAACACAAAAGTGAGAAATTGTCGATCGGTTGCGATCTCTCAGGATCAGAAAATCTGTAGCAAAATTTAGAAAGCAGATTTTTTGCTAGCATTGAGTTACACACATAACCTTTTGATTCAATTAGAAAGCCCAATAGCAATTTCCAGCCAAATCTAATTAAATAAATCTGTAGCCATGAACTATATGCCAACACTGGACAAGATTATAGCCATATGGTACAATCATCTGAGAACTTTCAGTCTGAGAGCATACACACTGACTTGGGATACATGTTGCAGCATTGAACGTATGATTATGAACATCCAGTTTATGGATGAATGACTACAATCCGAAGAACGCTAAATCCCAATATACGAGTTTAATGATATACAGCCAATCAGGTTGACCTTGGAAGGGACACGATAGAAGGTTGAACTTACAGTCCGTGACCATGAACAGCGTTGTACTGACAGCTATGATCAAGATCATAGTTCTTGCAACTTCCACTGGGGCTCTGTGGCTCTCGCTGCTGCTTCCAATCTCCATTCTTTCTGGCTTTGAATTCTCGCTGCTGGAAAGATCGGGATAGAGGATGCAAGTTCTGACTTGCAACGGACTTGATCACAGAGGAAGGTGGACACACTTGCAAATGTGCACCAACAGCAAGAAAGCTGGAGACTGCTCCAAGGGTACGCTCTGCAAGAGTAGAGCTCCAGGGATAGTCACCTATCCGAAGCTGCTGCTGCAGAGCGCACTTCCTGATTGCTTCAGACTGTTGATGTGCTTTAGCATCAGCATTCGAGGGCCTTTATAGGTCCCGAGGATTCTCGCAAGTACATAATTCCCCTAAGTGAATCATTCGTATTGACAAGCATGATCTCCTGGTATTTTGGACATATGCTGACATCATAATCCATCCCCTTAACTTAATAGTAACATACAATTCTCTATTCGCTCCTCTCCACGAAAACCTTATGCTTCCACAGCTGGAATCATTGTTTCACAATTAGAAATCTTGCAGAGCAGGAGTGATCTGGCAGGCTCAGACGTAATATGTCACGGCACAAGTAGAAAACTAACAATATACACCGAGATAGGCGGAGCAATGCAGATCGTGGAATATACACGAAGGGCAGATACACGATGTATTGTTAAACAAGTTGGTCGGTTCAAATCATTGGACCTTGGTCAAGTGGTCAAATTACTCTTCCGGCACTAATCTCCCTGGAACACCCCCACTAACTGTGCCGGATGATTTTGGAATAGAGGGACGGTGGTGGCTCAGGAAGTTCCGTGCGCTCGTATTCTTCGTTTGAGGAAAACAAGCGAGGTTTAGAAAGTCTCCCACGCGACTATTGCTCACGCTAATGGCGGAGGTTTTCGATCTCAAGGATCAGAGGTACTGTAAGCATCGTGTGGCAGTGGGTTCAGTTAAAGATTTTCGATGCTGATTCTCGTGACATGCTTTACGCTTTGACGCAAATCGAGGCACAGTGGACGAATCCTTGATGGTTCTTCACTCGAGGATCTTGAGACACGTACGTCAGAAGTTCAAGCTAGGTAGCGAGAATCTCCCTTCCATTGTCCGGCGCATCGAGCGGAGGAATGGTCTTAAAAAAGCTTGGGTCCTCGGCAGAATCTTAAGCCTTGAGCTTTGGCCGTGGAGTCAGTTTCATTCCTTCGACTGGCTGTCTCAGCCCAGCGTTGCCCAGCCAAGGGACCCTCCGTGACAAGGGTAAGACTCCTGTTTCATAGCTTTGACGAAAGCCCCATCCTATTGCAAGAAAACACAACTTGATGCCAATTTGGACGGAATGGCCGCTTCTCGAGAAGTGGGATGATGAAGGAAGTTTCAGACGAGAAGCAGTGAATATCCAAATCCAGGAAGGGGATCAGTGTCTAACAACTGCAGACTGACTTCTGAAACATTGCTTGGTCAAGCGATCTTATGAATGTACACGATCACGGTCAGTGACAGCCAGAGAAGGATCAGCTAGTATAACCTCATGTGGTCTTCCAAATCGTTCAACTGCATACATTTGCAATAAGGTAACAAACAGCACTCGTTGACTCGAACTATCATGATCTATGTGCGAACTAAGATCAGAGAAGCAAACACGAGGAAGTCTCACATAATGTTGTGTGCCATGGAGGGAAAGTCAGACAGCTGTAAGAGGAGTGGTGGAACAATGGTAGATGCATGAGCAGGAGAAAACAGTTTGCGAAGTCAAAGAGGTGTGTACTGCAGTGAGGCACATGTTAGCCACTCTCAGTCACTATGTGAATGTACGTCCACTAACGTGCAGCGGAAGTCACCTTCTTCTGCAGTTCTGGATTCTGGCTGGAATTCGGTCGATCGACATAGTTTCATCTTAAAAGTTTGAATCAAATTTCAGATATAAAGAATCATTTGAGGGATTCAGCCTAGGACATACTGCCTAGAATACAGTCCCATTGGGAAGAAACAAGGTAATTTGCACAGAAAGTGTAGCTTTCTGGGTAAGAAAAAAAGCTGATCTTGTTTTTTATATCAGATATGGTATTCTCTGCCTGAGAATACTTGTAACGTATGTGTCATGGTAAGTGGTTTATGTTTTTAGAAAGTACATACTTAAAAATATGATAAATGTGAAAAAGCTTTCTTCCTGCATTGAAATTTCCTGTTAACTTGGTACATAAATACTGGTCATAGTTCGTTTTCTAAGTCTAGTCAAAGTGATAGCTGTGCTCGTTGCTCGCCCTGGAGGGCGTCATTGACATGATTCAGGGCGTGCTTGGAGGGACTGATGAACTTTTCTCAGAGCGAAGTTGTAGAGTCTGATATCAGGAGACACAACGACCATCACTCTTGGAATTGCTGTGTATTTGTTCAACAGAAACATATCATTTTGATTTTCTGTTACTTTGACATGTAGCGCGGGACAAACAAAGTGACAACTTCTCTGGAATGCAGCACAATTCAGTACAAGAATCTTGGGAGCCAGAGTTCACGCGGAGGATGGCAGAAAAGCAATTCTGATCACAATCGGTTAGCAGACGAACAAGAAAAGCTCGAAAATGAATGATTGAATTCAAGTGAGAAGGTCTTGAAGCCCCATATATTTGGACAAACTCAAAATCCTCGGGGTTACGTGCCAACACCTGACAAGGAGAGAAATGTAACAGACCAAGGCTGTGTAAGGAATGGAGATTCTCACTGGAGGTGTCACTGAAACTTCAATCATCTTCTTCACAAGACTTCGAAAGTTAAAATAGTTCCCGTGAATTCATTACTCGAAGTAAAATCTGTACAATTGAGATGTAATGTGCATCTTTGTGACGAGTTCTGGCAACTCAAGAACAATGAAACTATAAATAATTCAGAATTTTGACTTCTTCGAGCACTGCTGCTCTGAAGAACTTATATTCATAAGTTCGCTACGTAGCAATTGTGTGGTCATTTTATGGGTGAAGCTGGTTCCCCTGGGCCATGCTAGTATACGCCCAGTGCGTATACCTTATAGCAGAATCGGGCTGCCATCGAGGCATCTGAAAAACACCCACACATGAATTGGATTAAGAAGTCGGTTGTGAGGGAAAGAGCATCCAGAATTCAAGATCACTTCCACAAGTGCTTAGCCTATATTCGCACTCAATACATTTATCCCGAAAAGCAAACCTGTGATTGCAAAAAGTCTATCGCACCATCTGCTTTCAGGTAGGTAGATACGAATTTCATAAAAATGACAAGACAACGATAGAATTGAAGCTGGGATTGTCATGTTATGTGCAGAATTGAGCTTTACAAGTTTTATAACTTTGTTTTGGTAAACTCCTGCTCAGAGTATTGCCGAGGGTAAAGTGCAAGAGGCTAGAACTTACAATCCGTGACCATGAAAAGCGTTGCGCTGACAGCAAAAACCAGAATTACAGTCCGCGCGATTTCCGCGGATTGTTTGTTGTCGCTGGCACTTCCGATCTCCATTGTTCCTGGCTCGACTTGTGTCGAAGAACGCCGAGAGAAGTACTGAGATGATGATGATCTCTAGCACAGCAACCGAGTTGCGTGAAATGTCGGAAGAGTTTCAACGGGAAACTCTAGCTCCAGATGGCTGTGCGAGTTCTGTAAGCTCGCAAATCTCGAAGCAGAAGACCGAAAGCTAGCAAAGTCTCGTCGGTGCACTCTGCAAGTCTGGCGCTCAAAGGATCGGAGAGACAACCTCCTTTCCGAAGAATGTGCTGCTGCAGAGCGCCCTTTGAGTAGACCTCCACTTTTCTGTGCCTATCCATGGCGGTCCTCTGCTGCCTTTATACGCTGCAGAGAGCAACACACTTGCTCTCCGCAGGCATTATCTGACGCCATGCGGCAAGGCGCATACAGATCACTGCATCTTTACGTTATCCCTCGAAAATCTCGTGAGCAAGCTTGCTCGTTAACATGCCACAGAATCTCATTCTACAATGATCACAGAACGGGATCTCCGTGTCTGCGGAACCCACATTGACATCTCATTTGAGCTGTATGAGTGACATAGAATCCAGCCCAGCCAGAGACCTTGTTTAAGTATTGCATTAGCTCCATCGAGATCAACTGTTGCTTTCATTATCTTATTAATCTAAAGCTCTTGGACCGGTTTAGAGACCGAAGACTACACCCAGCCATAGCTCAGAGAGCGTTCAAAGAACGATTGCAAGCAGGTCGTGCGGACTGATATCCAGCTGACCCCTGCTTGGCATCAAGACCAGGCTCAGTCAACCGATTGCACAAATTCCGGCTGAAACTGCGTCAGTTTTCGGAATCAGATGAAACGACGGGATTCAGAGGCTTCAGAAGATTCAGGTCTTTCTGTCTCTGTTATGTGGAGCCAGCGTGGAAGAGATTAACTTCCTTATTCTAATCAGACGAGGGCTTCGGTGCGTTGCCTTTGAAAGCGTCCACCCTTCTCAATACCTGCGTATCCATCAAGGAATCCACCCAAACATTTTTTACCCATATAAAAGCATTTGATTGCAGAAAGCCACGGATGCAAGTAGCCTTCGGACCACGGAGAGCCTACCACCAGGTTTTCGCTCTCGATACTTTCCTTACCCACCGAGTGAGAGATTTCCCCATGACATTTTGGTTTATTTTTCTTAGAAGTTGAATCCAAATTATATTCGACTGTCCAAAAATAGATTCATGCTTTTATCATATGATTTGAATAAACCTTGATCTAATATGATCATGGAAGTTGATATTTTTATTTTCTGCATTGAAAGCCATTCCTTTTAAACCGCTGGCAAATTCAGCCATTTCCTCTGCTGGATTCTTGTTCAATCCTTCTCCACTGAGTGAGTGAATTCCCGAAAACCTGGTGGTGTACCGGAGAACATTCCAAAGTTTTGGGGCACTGTGGACGGAGATCAAGGCTACGCAACTAATCAATCTATATCTACACAGGGAATGCACCAGCTTCCATTGTCCAAATAGAAGGTCAGAACTCACAATGCGGGTCAAAGGCAATCAGAGCTGGTGGTTCCTCTCCCGGTTCTACTTGGTTGGAGTCTTTCGTTGAACTACCTCTGGTAGAAAAATGAAAGGTTGATCTTAGAGACAATAGACAGGAGGATATGGAGGTCGCCCATGGATTGCATAGGATGCATCAGGCAGTTAATCGATATCAATATCAACATTTGGAAACTCAAGCGTCAACCGACGAGTTGACGCTTGAGTTTCATGTACAGCTACAAGTCATGATGAAACCCAAGTCCAGTGATCATCATCATCATCATTGCGGTGATAATCTTTCGGCAATGAGAGGAAGACTTGGTGGTGAAATGTACAGACTACATTCATGTCAGCGAATATGATCACTTTGAATAAAGATCACAAGTGGATGAACAAGGAAAAACAAGTTCAGTACAAGCGTAAGCAAAATTTTCATACGTGACGTTCAAATCAACGAGCCAGAATGAAACCCTCACATATTTTCCGCAGCGGAATTCCAGTGACTGCGAACTATGCTGCTTAGATTCATGGCAACCTGTAAGCTCGAAAGGAGCAAAGGAAGGCGACATGTATTTCATAGACCGGTGAAATACGCACACACTCATGTAAAGAGACGAGTCTCTTCTTATCACATTGCCCATTTTCAATCGCGAGTCTTTTGATAACATTATTCACCATGTAATTGATGACTATCTTCATTTTCTCAAACAAAAAAATTTCCAGTTTCTTCTGTCTCTATTTTGCTACCGGTGTCGACAGTACGGAGAGCAATTCGAATCGCCATCAGAGGAAGAACTTACACCTGAAGTTGTCACCAGAGGAACTTGTTTAGACATGTATGAAGTCAAAGTTCCTGAAGCTGATTCATCTACTGTATGTCTTCGATAATATTGTTTCTCAATAAGGTCTTCTTGCTAACTTGCTACACCGAAATTACAATTGTGACGGGGAATGTGGTCAACTAAGACCACTATATTTTCTGGATAATCCCCAATTTGTATTCAGCTCGACAAGAGATGTGAATAAGCTACTGCCACTTTTAACATGTCGTTTTCATCAGGCTGAGCGTCGTCCATACTTAAGAGGAAATTTTGAAAGTGGCTCCTGATCTTGAACATCTTTGGAGTATGTTCTTTGAAAATTTCTTTGTGATCTGCGCTTACCATGAACCCGAAGGAATTTACTGGACTTGTTCACTAAATCTACTTCCCTTGGAAGTAGATTTAGGGAACAAGCCAGTAGAAACCTTTGGTGATAAATCTCACGGTGCACTGTTTACGGACATCGTAACATGGTGTCTCATCTTCTTTGATTGAGGATTTATTATGTGCATTTGATAGATCTTGGATTGTATTGCAATCGAGTATTTACAACTGATGGAGTCATCGGAAAAATTTTTGTTTATACACTACAAGAATAATGTTCTTCATGATTTTCTTAAGCTCCTCCACGTTGATAAGTACATTGTCAGTTTAATTAATTGCCTTCTTCATATAGTGATTAATCTGTCAGTGCAGATATCGTGGATTGTGCACACAAGTCTTCTCCACTGAGCAACGATATGGACTGCATCAGGAAATCAGTTGTGCAATGATGATGATCGGCAGGTCCTGGAGCATTTGTGTTTCTACCTCAGCGATGACCTCAGTGTTTGCTCGTGCCTGAAGTTTACGTGTACACCTATCACACACAATGTACCACATTCCTAGAACTTCGCGTCCTACATCAGTACAATGAGCTCGGGAAAAAGGACTGGCGGACCCAAATTTTCTTGCGAGTGTTCAGCTTTTGTGCCGAAGTTTCACAGCATCAAACGTTGTCGCATGGCTAGAACGCTTCCAGATTCATGGTCTAGATCGATCTGGAGGAGTCCAAGGCAGACCAACAGGAGAAAGAGGTCGACATTTCCATTTCAAAAAATAGAGATGCATGCGCTTGTTGCAGGTAATCTGCACGGCCACAACAAGGATAATTTAGTCACTTTCAACCAAAATGGGCTTCTTCCCAGTCTTGTGCGGCATCCACATTTATTTAGATGGATTATACCAAAGATGAATTACAAAAAGTATGAAAGTAGCTCTGGACCACTCAAACTGCTTAGAATCGGTATACATTGCTAGTACATATGGAGTCACTGTGATCATTCTAAACTGAAAGCGAACTTATATTTCAATAGAAAAGTGCATCTTAAGCCAGAGGTGACAATATCAAGCTCCTGATTAACAGGCTGGGGCAACACATGCAACTACATGCAGCTTACCGGATCAAAGTAGGAAGTGACATGCTGATTATGCAGCTGATGAGGTAGCTTGCATATCTCTGGTCCTGCCCAAGAAATCCAGAATTTTCATTCAAACAAAAAGACATTGTATGCAGGATAATTTTCAGTCCCGTGCGAGAGTATCTTTGATGTACTCACGTAGTGATACTAGTAGTAAGTTCAATGACTGATTGATTTATGCTTCTATTTCTTGATTCCCCTGCTGGTCGTTGATATTATAATAGCACTTTCAGAATGTGGACACTTGACCTTTGGAGACCTTGCCTGACTCATTCAGATGAGCTGCTTTGCTGTTCCAGAAGAAGAAATTAAACCGAAGGCCTTTGCGAGGTTAAAGTTTGATTCAGAACTGTTTGAGATTCCAATCTGTCATGAGACTTGGAACATTGTCAAGAGCAGTACAAATGGGTCATAAGAGTTGATTTTCCTGGTTGGGCTCAGGAATTTGAAGTGCTTCCCTATACTATAGGTGCGCCGTCATGTGAGAAGGTAAACGGTGAGACAGGCCTCGAGAACAAATTCACTCGGTGTGGCAGCAACAAGATTTCAGCCTGCAACCAACTGAGAGAAACGCAATAACTCATATCTATTATGGAATCCAAGCTTGGCATACCAGTAGCTTTTGTGGAAGTTGAGTGAATGAAAACTGGCTAATGGCAACGAAGGAAAGATCTTCTCTTGTGACTCCCTTTACTTGGGAAGCTTAATAAGTAGACTATATGAGTCCAGAATATGTAAGTTAAAGCGGACTGTAGGTACTTTGAACTCGATGGCAGTATGTACACATGGGAAGGCAGGGCCGTACTTTAAGCTGCGAGTTACCGACATACGACAGTCCGCAAAGTCCCTTCACTGTTCACACCAACAATTGTAACAAGCCTCGTGGCCCCATTTCACCTCGGTTCAGTCTCATGTGTGAGTTCCCATGTTTGCTATCGGGATTGCTTGAGCTTTCACGTAAGCGTACATGTTTTTGAACTGATTCACAAAAGGTCGAAACTTCATGAGATTGGCTGTTACATTTCCCGCTATGTTAGTTACTTAATCTAATGTAACACAAAATCATTTATCAAAGAATCAAACTTAGCCCTCATATGAGACAATTTTGACAAGCTTGGATCAAGCTCTTGAATCATGGTACCACTCTCTGGATCCATGACAATCATGTCAACAGTACTTGAAGTACGGCCGAAACAATCCTTCTCTCTCCATGCCATTCTGTCTTAGCTTCTCCCAAGTTTTGTTTAGATCATAGTAAGAAAAATAAGCACATGCTACATTTTCAAAACCTCTTTACCCACACTTCATAGAGCCTTGATCCACATACAACGAGTGGGCAACTAACATAGTTGCTCAAAGACACTGCTTCTAAGTTCTTTTTGCGGCACAAGGATCAAAGAGCTAGGGGGTTTCCTTGCAATGGATGGTTTGATTTTGATTGTAAGCAAGTGAGGATGATGAGATCAGTTGACAAGTCTTTAAATCTCCAAAATCGGTTTATCTTGACAAGG